TGTTTGTATTATATACTCGTTTACAGTCGAAATAAATGCTGCTAAAAAGAATTTTTTTTTATAAATATAACAGCAAGATTAAACCCAGCCTTGACTCACATACTCGACCAGAGCATGTAGGCAATTTAAGCAATAATTCAAGACCCTCACTTAACAAAAATATCTTAAAAATAAGTAAAATATACTTGTTAATCATGTTTTATAAAATAAAAATTAATCTCATTTAACAGAAATTTCTAAATACGAAACTAAAATTATTCAAGGAGACACTTGTTAGGCATATATAAAGAATTAAAAAAATATTTCTAAAATATTTTAAGATACCTCATTTATAATTTTTCCCAAAACTTCTATTAAGCCAGTTTTGTTGCATAATTGACCCAATTAAAGGCTAAGGTGACAGGTTGGATGGGTTAATGCTAATTAAATTATAAATTGTCATTATTTCTAAATTTTTCTTAAGAAAATGAAAAAGATGTTTAAAAAAACCCAGTTAAAATAAGTTTTTAACTTAATCATGAATCAATTTATTAAGTTAGACTAAATTAATTCTCATCTAATTTAATTTAAAATATAATCTAGAAATCAGGTTAATAAATCATTGAGTTGGCAAATCAAACTAAGAGTGTATTTATGTTAGTTTTTGTGCATATTTTTAGTGATGAGGCATCACTGAAAATTAAAAAAGCAATAGCAGAGGCATGAAAATAATAAATGCAAGGCCTAATTATACCTGTGTTTTGTGTTTTCCAAGGTAATACCCTATAATAAATGCAAACTCAACCGATAGCATAAACCAAGTTTAATTACACTGTATATTAAAAGGGGGTAGACTATTACTAATAATAAAAAAAATAATTGTTAATGGCTTCAATTTTATTATTCAAAAGCAGATTCGAAAATTCTTACAAAACAAATATCAAATGTCTGTGTATCTAACGGTCAAAGACCAATGAAGTTGCTCGATCTTTAACACCGCTCATGCAGATATAAATGCACTTGTCTGTCTATTTGATATTTCTGTGCTTGCCATACCACATCGCCCTCTCAAGTCCCAAAATCAAAAAACACTGAAGCGCAAGAATAACAAGACTAGAACACCATGGTTTGCTTTTGTTTTCTTGTTGATCAGACCCGGAAGGTGAGAAGAAGCAAGCCGGCAGCCGGAATTTGTTCAAGGTGTGGTGGTGGAGCAAGTGTAGCTGATATGAAAACTTGTACAAGATTTTGCTATGTGCCATTTTACTGGAAATCTTGGAGAGCTATCATGTGTACTTTCTGTGGAGCTGTACTCAAATCTTACCACTGAATTATTTTGTTTTAGAGGACTTCTGGCATGGTATTTCTTTCCCACTTAGTTTATAGAATTTTAATTAAGTTCTGTATGCTTTGGAGCTAATTATAAAAAACATGCTTAATTTTACCCCTAATTTCTCGTGGCTTGTTATAGAATTTTTTCCCTCTCCTGTTTGTACCATTTAAGTGAAATTTGCTTGAGGAAATCGTAGAAAACAGCATTGTTCTTTAAAAAAGGAAAAAAAAAAAGTTACAGAGAGCTCCTTCCCAAGAAGGAGATGTGCAATTTTTTTCTTGTTTGCACCAAAAAAATATAGGACAATAGTTTGGTCTGCAGTTTGTGCAGGATTTGTAATAAATTTACAGGTGGGAAGCTTTTAGTAGGAGGATGGAGATGGTTGAACAGTGAACAGTGATGCCTCATCAAGTGGAAAGGACATGGAAGGTGCAGTGTGGGTGATGCCGATAGCTATATGCATGTATGGCGTCTGTTTTCAGAAATAAATGAAGTGATTGAACCTTCCATTGACCTAAAACACGGCAGCAATTATACAACAATTAATTTTCTGTTTTCAAAGTTTAGGCTGCTCCAATCTTCTCCCAATTTCTTCATAATATTGAACTTAGTTTTCGTTGATGATCTAATTAAGGAAAAGTAAAGTGTTAACATCTCATAATATACATATGATCATGAAATAGCAGGAGGATGAAGATTAAGAGAATATCCCTTTTTTTTTGTTACTGAGGGATTCAAAAAAAATCCCAGACTATAATAATGCCATGGAATTGTCTCCTCACACTAGCTTATATCTTAAATTCTCAAGGAGCAGGACATTTTTCACAATCGGGCATTTTTCTTCTATAATTGTGAAATTATTCAATGGTCTTGATGCAATTGCAGTAATTGATGAAAATAATAATAATAATAATATATTTTGAATCAATTTGGACCATTATCAATCTTCTTCACATGCCTATTTATGTTTAATTAGGCCAGGGACATGCCTTTCATTCAATTCCCCTCGAAGAGAAATGATGCATATACAGCTGTGCCTGCAAAGGTGTTGAATGATTTGTCACTATTCATGTGAAATTAATGCCAGAAAGAAATTAAAGGGCATCGCTGTTAGTGTTTTTTTGTTTGTTTTCCAGTTTCAGCTCAGTAAAATCATGAGAAAGGACGTAATAAATGTTAGACTTGATGAGATTGCCAGTAGAATTCGAACATATTTATTTGAAGTGAGGTAGTATTTAGTTGATAAGTCCCGATCATAATAAATAAATTTCGTAGAGGGTTGAAAGTTGTCTCCCTTTTCTCTCCTTCCATGCATGCTCAAGGATCAAGAATCGTTCATATTAAAATAATTTAAATAGTGATTAAATGTTAATAATTTAGTATTTAAAAATTTATTTTTTTATGAATTCAAGTTTAAGTTATTGATTGTTTATATAATAATATTTACTAAAAATTTATATAATCATTAATTTCAAAACTCATAAAATTAATTATGATATATAAAAATTAATTTAAATATTTATATTAATCCAAAAAAACAATTATTTATATTAAATACATGGCATTAACATAACAAGTTAGTTATTAGCTTGAGAGCTGACGACACTTCTAAACTTTTTCATGTTAAAATCAATATATTTTCATGTTAATAATGACTCAGAAACTGATCCAAAAACCTAATATCGGTTACAGTATATCCATGTAGGCTGTAGCATGCAAATCTCCGATTGTTTTTGCCTGCAAAATGTGTACATATTAATGATATAAATAATATTTGTAGAAACTTATTGGATATAAATAAGAATACTGATGAAAAAAAATACTATCTGTAAATTACAATTGTAATAACTGGTAAAATAGAAATTATTAATAATATATTTTCTAACTATATTTTTTTTTGTTATTCTAATGATAAGTGTATTTTGATGAAATCAAGTTTTAGACATGGACCAAATATTTTATTGGTGTTTTTCTATTTTCTGGTGGTGATGCTTTATAAACAAAAACCAAGTTCAAAAGCATTATTTTTTACGCTATTCAACTTTTTTTATTTTTCAAAAAGCAATACCATAAGCAAAACCTCTAATAATCTATTATTTTTCTCCAATATTTAAATTAAAGAAAATAAAAAAACAAAACAGCGTAGCCGTAGTATTTGAGAATGTTGAAATTATTTTTTTTAATTTAAAAAAATTATTTAAAATTAATTTATTCTTTAAGTACCTATATTTTTTATAACTATTTCCCAGCAAACAATTCATTCAAATGAAAGTAAACTTCATGTACAGTAGGTTTGCAAAACGGTGATCTATCATAAATTCTGCAGCTCTTAGTCACGTTGTTGCGTGTAAAATAAATAAAAACAAATATGTTAAGAAATACCAATTAAATAAATATACATCGCCCATGCAATCTGCGTTGACTTTTGTTCTCAAATGCTTACAGTTTTTATTTTATTTTTGTAAAACCACTGAATTTTGTGGATTACCATCTAGCACACATAACCATTCAATGAGAGTTGACTAAAAAATATTCATAATGCGAATGCACAAATATGAATACAATTTTCCATCTAACTTGTCAAATGAAAAATCCACAATGAATTTTTTTAAAAAAAAATAAATAATAATGATAAAGAAATGTAAAGGTTTTTTTTATCAAATTTTCTTTAATAAATTATACCAATAATTTATAAGTTAATAATTTTTTTTATTAACATGATGTCTATACAAATAATGACTTTAAAGTTTATTAAAATCAAATTAGTGATTTCTAGAAAATAAATTTAAAATTTAACTAGTTAAGCTACATTCTTTAAGGTTTATAAGTTATAAATTTAAAATTTAACTAGTTGAGTTATAATTTTTAAGGTTTATAAATTAATGATAAATAACCCAAAATAATTGAATTAATGTTAAAAACACATTTCTTTCCTTTCTTGAATTTTAGATTTTGAACACTAAGGATTGTATTCTTTAAATTATTATTATTATTTAAATGCATTAGAGTGCTTTCTTAGAATCATCCAAGAGATAAGATTTAATTTTAGTTGACATGCAAACTAATTCGAGAATACCCCATCTAACAATAATAATTTAATTTTTTTTAAAAAGGATTAATTTGTTAGGTAAATTACAATAAGTGATTTTATATGATTTTTTAATTTATTATTTAAGTAAAAAGTTTTTCAGACTTAAAACTTTTACATGTTTATTGCTATTTTATAATTAATTTAATTTATTAATTTCATTATAAAGAATAAGATAATAAAATTTAAACTATGTATTTCTTGTTATATTTTAATTATTGGAGTAATTTGGATACCAATGAAACATTGAATTGTATTAATTTTATACTAGTATAATACAATTGTTATTTCTTGTTATTTTTATTTTTCAAAACAAATCTTAAAACAAGATCATTTTGAATTAATTTAAGTTAACCTAAGCTAATATACTAAATTAATGTGGCTAACTCATCCCCTAGACTAAAAATCTTGCTAGGCTAAATAATTTTTATTTAACCTATCAAGAAAATTCTAAAAAAGAAGGGATGAAAGGTAGGAGCCAAAATATCTTTCACACGATTCAAAATGCTGGCCCAGGAGGAGCCCAACCCACAGAAATAAGAAACCTTATCTCAAGGATAAAAAGCCCACGAAAAACCAAAACCCCAGTACCTTCCCATCTAGGGTTTAAGAGGCAAACCCTTGTTCCAAACAGAACAGAAACCTTAACTCACATACAGAAGGGGAAAGAAAAAAAAACAAACTTTATATAGTAGCGATAAAATTGTCTCTGTTTTTTAGTTATGAAATTTCATTGCAACATAGACTCTCCTCTCCCAAAATCCAAACTTAAAAATGGTGGGGTTTGTATTTGAGCCCTCAACTACTGAAGAAGAGAACAACCAAGTTTCAAAAGCTAGAAACTCTAAAGACCCAATTCAACCTTTTGATCAAAAGCTCACAAATTTCGCTGATTATTTTCTTGATTTTGATTCCATAGAGGAGTTTTTTGGGGACCCAGAAGGGGTTAGTTTGGATTTTGAGAAGAGAATGCAGGTGGAGGATAAACGGTTTGTTGTTAAAGATTTAACTGTTGATGGGTCTGATTTAGTTTTTGAAGAGAAGAAGGGAATTGTTGATGGGTCTGATTTGGAAGGTTTAATGAAGGTGAAGGGAGAAAGAGTGGAGCTTGAAAGAGGAGGGAGTTTGGAGTGTTCTATTGAGGAAGAGATGGGAAGGGTTAGTTTGGTTGCCGTGTCGAGTTTAGTTGTTGCTGATGGGGGTGGAAAAGTGGTGGGTGAAGACGCAGAGATAGATAATGGTGGTTTGATAAATGGGTCGGGTTCGGATATTGGTAATGGTATTGTTGTGAATGGAAAAGTGGTGAATGATGAGGACGAGAGAGAAAGTGAAAGTAGTGAGTCTGAGTCAGAGAGTGAAAGTATTGAGTCTTCTAGTAGTAGTGATGATGATGGTGAAGAGGACAGTGAGGAAGAGAAGCAGGAGGAGAGGGAAGTTAGGGAGGTAGTAAATAAAGAGTTAGATGATTTGGGTGACATGGAAGAAGGTGAGATAAGGAATGTTAATGGAGAGGAAATGGTTGGTAGGGATGATACTGATGTTGAAGTGTTTGAGGAGGAGGATGGAGACAAGATGGTTGAGTGGAGTGATTTTGATGAAGATGAGGATGCTGTTAATGAAGGATACCCTATTAGGTCGAAGAACGAACTCAAGGTAAATTGTTTCTGCTTTGATGCTATTCTATGTGAGTTGTTTTTTGCTTATTGTCCGAGGCTTTGGAATTGTTAAATCTTGCATCTCAAGTGTTATTGATAGTGTTAGTGTGATTTATGAAGTTAAATATAGAAATGCAAGATATTCATACACACGGTTTTTTTCCTGTTAAATAAATGTGAGGGTTTTTTATCATGTTCTATGATTCGGTCTGTCAATGTGCTATTTCTTATCTTTCCAGAAGATGAAGGTCAAACAGCTTAATATGAATACTGTTAGAAAACAAAATTGCGGTTATAGTTACTGGAGCATGGCCCAATTTGCATCTGTTGAATACGATGAAGAGCTAACTGAGGCAGAATTGTCAATAAATCCTATGCAAATTATTTTCGCTAGCTGTGAGAAACTAAATAAATTGCAAATAAATTTTTCCTTCTCTATTTAATTTTCACTGATTTTTATGATTTTACATTAACAGGTTTATTGCTTTGATGATGATAATTCATTTTAGTGGTTATTGCTAGTTTAAACATAGGATTTTTTTGTCTTGGCTCCTCTGTTTGTGATTTTCTATGGACCAATACTGTAATGTTCATTGATGACAAGTACGCATAGCATGACTTCTCCTTTACATTCCTAACTAAAGTGGCAGATTGAAATTTGATCCAATGGCTTACTATTCAAGCATTTTCATGTTTTCTTTTTATGTCATATTGCTTATCAGATAAACTGTATCAAATCTGCAGTTTCTCCCTCCAGTTCCTCCAGTGGTTGCTTCCTTGGAACCACATCATCAGATGCAGGCTGTTGGAGCTGTTTTGTCGGTAAGTCCATAGAAGCGAAGTGCATAGTTTTTTTTTTAAAAAAAAGAAAATAAAAATATAGGCTTTAAATTTAACGCAAGTCTATCTAAATCACAACTATTTTTGCTTTTCCTATTAATTTAAGCTCATGGATTGACTTTAGATTGGTGATAGCTGTTCCAGTAAATCCTGTGTTCTTGATTTTTCAGGCTATAGGTTCCCAGGTTATAGTAGAAGGGGTGGAAAAGCACAACCCTTTGAATGAGGGTTCTATCCTTTGGATAACTGAAAAGAGATCCCCATTGGGGTTGATAGATGAGATTTTTGGACCTGTCAAGAACCCATACTATGTGGTGAGATACAATTCAGAGAGTGAAGTCCCTGGAGGGATCCACAATGGTACTGTGATATCTTTTGTTCCTGAGTTTGCCAATCATGTGCTCAATGACAAGAATCTTTACAAGAAAGGGTATGATGCATCTGGTGAATACGATGAAGAGCTAACTAAGGAGGCAGAATTTTCAGATGATGAGGAAGAGGCAGAGTACAAGAGGATGTTAAAAATGTCCAAGAGGGGAATAGATTGTGAGACGGTTGGAAAAAAGAAAAACAACAGAAGGAAGGTGAAAAATAGGGGGGGTGGTTGGAAGAGCAATAAACCTTCAGGGGAGCAAATACCTACTGGTGTAGATCAGCTATCACCCCATCAAAATTTGTTCAATTTGATCAATGAATCTTCTGTTGGAACATCATTTGCTCCAGGGCCACAGACAACTGGTGTTTTTACTCCAAATGGTGTATGGGTGAATGAGGGGCCTCCTCATCAGCCAGTGACTTTAGCAATTCCAGGTGGATTTCCAGCTAATAATATGCCTTGGGCTGCAAGGAGTCAACTTCAGCATCCCTATCATATACCTAAGGCAATTGGCATGCCAATTCAGCCACAGTTCAATCCTTGTCAGGGACCACTTCCTAATGCTTTCTTCCCAGGCGGACATCCAAATTTCTTTGCTGGACCTACATATCCTCCATCATGGCCTGCGGTTGGAGGGCAAAACTACTTTAACCAAGCTGCATTTGGAACAGGATTTCAGGTTCAACCTAATCCCCAAGCTATGAATACAATAGAACAAGGAATGATGTCCAGAGGACTGCCTTTAGAACAGAACTGCAGTTTTCAATCACCAGCCATCCCTCCTGGCAACATAAAAGCTCCTCAGCAATTCAACATGGGAGCCTCTTCCAGCCATGGAAGGAAACCTTATCGAAGAGGGGGTGGTCGTTTTTCAGGTGGAAGAGGCAGGCAGCCATCAAACTAATTTTTGTCTATAACGAGCTGTAACTTAAAATAGGCTTTGACTGAGTGGACCAGCAATGTTCTGCAGACCTGCCTACTTTTTGTAAATTATCTCACATTGATGTCTGTGTTAAAGAAAATGTTTGCTACATTGCTTTTCTGGTGCTGGATTTACCTCATTTACAGTTAGTGCTGCGATACTTCTCTCGCTTTTTTTTTTAATCCTTTTTCTAGTTCTTTATTGTAGTGCTCTTTAAGAATTGTCTAGCAAGGTGGGGTGGTTGGTAATGGTTCGTCATTGTTGCAATTTGTACGTTCATGGTGGTTGCGAGAGCCTAAGGGATCCTTCGCAGCAAATTCTGGCTGTAAGGACTGTCTTGTATTCTTAATACCTTAAAATTTTCTGTGCAAGCTAGGTTCTGCTTCAAAATTTGTCGTCTTCTTTGCAGGTATTGATTGTGAGAGTCAATCCAAATTCCATGCCCCACTTATTTGATCGGCTTCCTCTCTGTTTTGCTAGCTAACCATTCAGCTCCCACCCCCTCCTCCTTTACTTCTATGTGCTTGTGCAAGCTCATGGCAATTCACAGGTGCTGAAGTCTGACCAGCCTGATGGCTGACAAATCACCTATTATCTGTCTTTGTATTTTGCTAGATGAGGGTGCTCATAAACCATAACCAGTGATTTGATTTTCACATTACTAAACGATATACAGAAATGAGCAAGCATAGGGAATTTTGTTTCCATTAAGATCATGCTGTTAAATATAGTGACGGAACATTTCATAAAGCCCGTTGCTTTGGGCTTTACGTTTTTTATTTTAGTGGCCTAAAAGCATCACCGACATGTTTTTCAATTTCCTTATCAATTCACTTCTAATTTCCTTCCAAATCTAATCAAATTTGGAGAAATTATCACCATCAAAGCAATCGAATGGTACCAAGAACTTTTGGCACTTCTATGACTAGTTGACTTCACAACTACACTCGCTCACCTTACTCAGCAAAATCCTAGAATAGTGTTCTATTCTTTAGTCCTTGAGTTTTTGACACAATTATAATGTAGTCTTTGCTGTTTCCTATAGCTTTGTACCTTAGGTTTTCTTGCCAGGTTTTCAGCAAAGACATATCTTACTCTTTTTCATAATTTTATCGTTGAGTGTTTTAAAACAGTAAAAACATGTTTTTATGTAACTTAACTTCTTAAAATTCACTTTAAAATTGTTTGACTTTGATATTGAGACACTAACGCAACAAGGGACTAACTTATAAGTTATCAAACATGAAATACCAAGTTATATCTATATCCAAAATTAGGTACCAAATGAGTATTTATTTTAGTGTTACAACCTCGTTTTAAATTATTTTTCTTTTTTATAATTTTGATATGATACTAAAAATAAAAATTAAAAATATATAAAAAACACCTTTCTTGGTAATACTAAACACACTAATTCCGAAAGTATGCATCAATACGATATACGCCCACCATTAATTCAATTTCACCATTTTAATTTTTATACCACCCCAGCTCAGCCATCTCAACTTTCAACTCTGTTGTCAACCAATTTTTCCAGTGGCCGCTTGATGATGGAATAGGAACAGAGGAAAAAGACAGTACCAGGAGATATAAGGATGTAAAAGAAAAAATAAATGAGATAAATTGCTAAATTTTGAAGTTCTATACCAGCCAATGAGAACAACGAATGCCTAACTCACAGACTGGAATTTCAAGTTCAACATGAGAAAATGTTACTCAACAATGCCATGGAAAGGCGCCAAATAAAAGGGGGATATCAGGACTGCTAAAGCATCATTGTTTTGAACTCAAACTTTTGCATTCCTGGTGAAGTCAGTGCAGGTTTGGCAGCTGCAATCTGGGAAACGACAGATCTCACACCCAAAGCACACACAGGAAGTGCAGCCCTTGCATGTTGGAGAACGGGTGCAACCTCTGTATACCCTTCGACTTGCTCGTTCTTCATCATCATCACATGTTATTCTGAAATACGAAAAAGAAAACGTCTGCATTATTCATTTCAAACTTGACATGTGGTTGTAAATCCTTGAAAACCCATGAAACCACAACATAGTTAAATTTATACTGGCAAAATTTGCATGCAATGGCAAACCACTTTGCTGGGGACTAACTTCAACTTTTAAAGACAATCTAGTTAGATTTATACATTCAGGTTGTGCATCAGGCATGCTTAATCATACGTTAAGTTCATCTGATAACTGCAATAAATTTCATAACTCATGGAGCCATTCAAAACATTGTCTAAGTGTAAGAAAGAAACACAACAATGGGAAAATAGATGGAAAACATGACAGCCCATGAAGAAACACGGGTGCATTTGCTTCTTCAAAAGAGATGCATTTATGAAGCAATCAAATTTGGGAAGCAATACAAGAAATAATCACAACGAAATATAGAGTGAAAGGGTGGCAGAATATAAAACTTGGAAATGTTTCAAATTCTGCAAATGGGATCTCAATAAGACCTGTTTAGAATGTAAACATGCTCCAGCAATTATCAAGTACAAACATTTTCAGTGGTATTTCCTCACATTTCACTCAGCACAGATACGCTATAAAAGTAGAGTGAAATTTAGAAAATAGAATTACTTAAAGCTTCAGAAATTTAAACACGCATCAAGCACAATTATATCTCTGTTTTTTAATATTTTTCAACATGCTAATAAATGGTGCTTAATTCATGGAAAGCCTGAGGAAAACTTAAGAAGTTCTGCTCTTGCAACATTTTTAGAATCCAAATTTACAAACTTGGCAAATGCAATCATCGGAGGATAAAAATTGACAAGCATAAACATACATCATAACAGAGATCAAATGAAAATGCTTCATAAAGAGAACACTTGTTGAAAAATGTCCAGAAAAAAGATAAAATGCATGAAGTCACTATTCATTCTTATAAATCTGAAATCCTTCTATGACATACCAGAGATCATATCCTTTATTTATGACGTATTCAGCAAGAATATCTTATTTCTTTAATCCTCTAAATGTCCTTTAGCTCTCTCCTATACCTCTTAATAAGAATAATCTATCTATCAATGAGGATAATTTACTTGGCCAGATATCAGCCTAATCATGTAAAGTTGAAACCCAATCGACCCATAGCTCACTTGTATAGAGGCTTCTTCTTGGCATCAAGCATTAGTCATATAAGCATGAAGGTGCATTATATAACATGAGCTTTTGTTTCTAAAGCATCTGCATACTTCCATCACCGAAATAGTGCAATATTCCATCTTCCATTATCAATGTCCATCCAAGATAATTATTCATGTTATGAGCGATGATGCGCTAAATTCTATGTAAGAATCACAAGTCAACAAAGTAGAGATGCAAATAAGGCAGCACAACAAACGAAATTGGAATGAAAAAAAAAATTGAATCCATAGCCTCCTTTTGCTCTCTAAAGCGTGTTCAACCACGTGAGAAACTTTACCGGTTGAGCAACATAGAGAAAAAGAAATAATCAATACATGTTATATTAAAAACTGCAAAAAATGACTGAATCTCTACACACGCATGAAATGCATAGTCAGGATCTAGCTTTCAATGTTAAAAAGAAATAGATTTTAGAATCATGGTTCAAAACGGCTGATGAACTAAAAACTTCATGAAGATCAAAATAAAGCAAACCATCAACAGTCAGTGATTTTATTTTCATTTGATGCAATGTAATGGGAAACTTACTTGTCAAAAGGCATATCAGCACATTTCCAGTTCGCATCAGCCAAAGCATCATGGTGAATCTGACACTCCTCTTTGGTCCGTAATCGGAACCTGCGTTCCTTATTACATTCACTACAGCGAACAAACTCATCACGGTGACAAACTCGTCCATTATTTGACCTGTGGGATCCATTGCCATTTTTTGAGGCCTGATTGTAGTATTTGAGCAACACAGTCTTTGACAATGGAACCTTCTCCCCATTAACTATGACCCAGACATTGTTCTTCCATTTTCTAGCTGTCTCTCTTCCAGAGTGCTTTTCAAATGCAGCAGGAGTCATCGTATCTGTTATCAACCATTCAAATATTTTCAGAAAATAAAACAATAAAAAAATATAAACTAATATTAAAATAAAGAGGGGCAAAAGGAATATACTTCAATACAAATAGCTATGATCACATGCAGAGAACAAATGAAAGCTCCACAAAGTCAAGTCACATAGAAGAAGATATTACAAGGGAAGCATCCTTAGAATGCAATAAATTTTAACATTCAGGAGCACCAACGGCCATTTTTCAGAATTGTTGGGAGGTTATCAAGTGATTGAAACATTAGATATAAGCCTAACTGGACTACTGAGCCAGACATGATGCCACCTTCTTCTGCAGGAGACACAGAATGGCCAATTGAGCCACAAGGGAGCAGTTGCATAACTTGGCTCTAAAAGTTACCAGGAAAGTCCAGCGGAAGGTAGTTTAACTCGTGAGTATTGAAAATAAACAGTATGACATTTTTCTCCTTTCAGTGAACGGACCACAAGAGCTATTCTTACGAACAGAATGCATTCCCTTTCCTAAGAACCTAACTCTTTTAAAGGGTAAAGGCTGCCCTTCCTGCAGTCCAAACAACTTTTACTATCAAGACCTTGCAAGTCTCCGGTCCTCAACAGATGTCGAAACCTCCACTTACACTATCCCAAGGCCTTGATTTTCCAAGATGATATCAATTCTTGAATCAACTCTGAGGAGTTGCAGGCACAGGTTAGACAGGCCTTCCAGTTGCACTGTGGCAAAATAAAAGCAATGTCAAAGCAGATGGATCTTGAGTTGTCAGAGGATGAATCCTAACTTAACATTACGTAGCCAGAAGCTCATGCACACAAAGACGTTGTCCCAGCTTAAGCATCGGCGTGCATGATAGCCCTTTAGAGGTCAACTTCCGAGATTGATCCCAGCCAGTAACCATCCTTGCACAAAACGACGGATTTTTTTCATAGAGTCAACCTTGAATTTGAACATAATCTAAAGCAACAACAGTAAGGTAGAGAGCTATAAGGATAGAGTTGCCAGAGGGAGTACTCTAAAGTATATATAAGAGTGCCAGGTGATGCTACACTAAGGCTTACTCTGTCCAACAGGAAGAACAGAACTCTGGCATCAGAAACCAAATCTTAGAGCACCAAAGTCAACCATTGTAATCAAAACAACAAAAGCAATGCAGCTCCATCATAAGGAAGACCACTCAAAGACCACTTTTTGAATCAAAACACAAGCTTTAGTCCAATCTGAACCAGAAAATATCAGGTTGAAAAAGTCCACAGACAAAACTGCATTATCTAGTTGAGCAATGGCATGCACAACCCACTCTCTCAGACAAAACAACATACACTTAGAGATTGTAATAATACCAGAAAACAAAATTGAAACCATACAACTGGCTAAGACCTCTTGTCACTTTTGATTAGAGAAGAGACTGATATCCATCAACGTCAAAATATAACTACATAAGACCTATTCAACACGCATAAAAATCAAACCCCATTTCATTAACAACCTCGAAAAAAGACAGTACAGAAACCAAGACAAAAATTTGTTAAAAACAAGAGACCTTCATCGCAACCAGGAGTGCATTCACATGTGATTTCAAGTTCACCATTGATAAAACCCCTAAGCCTACCAACAGCATCGCCATATCTATGGCTGGTACACCCACACGTCACTTCTATGTACTCTTCACCTCTCTTGACCCCACTCATCTCTCTCAACTCTTCTTCACTAAACAACACCGCCAGCTCTCTCTCAACCCCATTAGCCATGTTTGCCCCCCTTTCAAAAACTCTCCCTCTTCTCCTCCTCTCGAAAAAACAACCAAAACCCAGATGCCAAAATGAGATCTTTAAGCCAAAAACACCAAAGAAATAATAATAATAATAAAAAAAAAGATATAGGATTTTGAGTGATGGGTATTGATAATAATAACAAAACCCCACAAAACCACAAGGTTCAAAAAGGCTAAAAAAAGAGAGAGAAAGTCTCAGGCTTTCTTAAGAAACCCGAGTCTCCAAGAGATCTGGTGGAGAAAACGTTGAAAGTGTCATCAGATAAATAGCGATGAGCGGAGGTCGTTGTTGTGTGGTGATTTTGGACAGAGAGAGAATGAGCTAGCTAAAGGTTCGTCGGGGTGTGTGTGAGAGAGAGAGGCAAGGTTAAAAATCCCTTTTTATGTGCTAGAATGAGTGCTATTTCCTAATGCTAACCTTCCTTGTTGCATGACATGACACGAGAGAAGAAAATAAATATATATAGAGAGAGAGAAGAGAGAGAGATTTGGGGTCAGCCAGGGGACGGGGGGGTTATGGGAAGAGCCAGTGAGAAATCGAGGTTTATTTACCGTATAGCTCATTTAATTGAGGGGTTATGGATATTTTTTATTTAAAAATATATTAAAATAATATTTT